TAAAAAAATGAACTTGTGATTTATGGTTCTGATGATTAGACATGATAGATTATAGAAAGAAGAGAGAGAGAGGTTAAAACATAATTGTACTTATAACTGCTATGAAGAATATTGGAAGCCACTTCTTTATACCTTTATATCTTTTTTTCTTCTTTTTTCTACTTTTTTTGCTTATTGCACTTTTAGCTTTTTCTGTTACTTCTCTTTTCTTTTTCTCTGTTCTATTTTAATTTGTATTAGTTATTATTATTGCTGTAAACATTTTCAATAAAAATACTGGAAAAAAAAGAGAATAAGATGTAGCTCATGAAATGGACTGGGGATGCCACACACCAAAAGAGATTGGCAACAACATACTACAGAACAGTATGTCATCCTACACAAATGCAAACAATTTCCAATTTGTATTTCAAGGGAGAAAAAAATCAAATTGCTCTAGTTTGATTCCAGTCCTCTAGAGAAGCCTCACCAAACAAGACCTCTAAACTTAAATGCCCATGGCCTATTTCTGTTAAAAGTCAATAGCAGTTTGTTCCTCCAATGTTTGCTGTCCATGAATGCAGGCTTTCAAAAGAAAAGAATTACACAATCAAGACTGCAATTAGCTAAATAGCTTTTGAAATAGAGGCCCCTCCTCTTCCCATCCCCTTAATGAAGCATCTACTAAAAGCTACAGGAAAATGCATAATGCCTGGAAAGCCAAGGACAATGCGAATGTTACAGCTTAAGCATTTCATTCTATGCCACTATAGCACCCAAAATATGTCGTTCTGTTTTGAAAAAATAAGTTCATGTATCCATGGTTCAAATGAAACAATTAAGTTGCAGCTACAATCAAATTAAGGAAACTCAATTGACTGAGTTCCTCAGCCTAGTCCTGCCATGCCATCACCTCATGTCACAGGTACATGCTGAATGTACAAAATTACAGTAATCTTCCTGCAAAATCTTATCCAGTTGCCAATCCTCTCAGAAACACAAGTCCAATTAGTAAGGATTTATCCAATTCAGCCACAAAAGATAATTGTTCTGCTGGAACCACCAGCCAAGAAGCTGTGCCTTCGAAGACATGAGAAGACAACCTGAGAAACTTCTCAATGTAGATGGGCTGAGCCCATCCAGAAAACATGCTTTCCAGAGAACAAGAATGGCCTTCAACACTTCAAGGAAGTTTTTTTGTTGTTGTTTGCACCAAAGCATACCACAAAATATCCCTTCAAATGCTCTGAACAGCCCAATTAATATCATCTGTATTACTGAGTATCCTTGCAAAACATTATTCATTTTAAAATACACATGACAAAATACAAATAACCGAATTAGTAGCTTTCTTGTACATCCTAGCAATATAAAGGTCTGGAATAGGGATGGGGGGACTTTATTCCTGGAAAAAAAAAAAGGAAAAAAGGTAGAGAGAATTAAAAAAAACACACACATTAGAAGGAGTCACATTTTTCTAGACCTTCACATCTCTAAGTTCTTCTCCTGCACCATCCCCAAAAGATCACAAAGTATACATAGAACACAATCATCCAGATCACAAAGTATACATGGAACACAACCATAATTAAAGCCCAACCACTATAATTAAAGTTAAACTATACAGTCATAAAATTAAGCAGCATTAAAAGATTAAAGAACAGGTGCCTGTACAATCCCAGATGTTTCCAAAAGATCTTGGCTGGTGGGAGAATTCTAATTACTTCCAAGAGAGTTTGTGAAATAAACAAATACAAAACTAGGATAAGGCAGCACCTAAGTACTCAAGTGCATAAACAGAATTCAAGTTTCACTATAATAAATTGAGAGTTCCTCAGTGGCTGTAATGGGATCATTGTAAATGTTTTATATGATTCACTGTCATTCGGTTTTATAAAAGAGAGCTGATGTCATGTCATGGTTATTAGGAGGATGTTCTCCCACATAAGGATGCTGTGTTATGATTAATATCTTGTCAAGGATTTATGTAGGTATTGATTTGATGTTTATATTTTCTGTTAAATTTTGTTATATTGGATTGTGTTGGATTGTACAACTGTTTATAGTCATGTGACTGAAGTGGTATACAAGTCTTATATAAATAAATGTCCCAGAAACTCCTTGTTCAACCTTATCTCGGCCATATGCCCACTGAGTGGTTTTTAATACGTCACACTCATTAGCCCACACATACACACCCACACTCACAAGCACTGATGATGTTACCTAGCTGGGTAATGAAACGTCTGCAAGCAAACAACCAAGCTCAGAGAGCACCAAGGACTCCACAGTTCAACCCTGAGCTACATATATTCTCCTCTATTAAGTCAATGTTTCTAATGTACCAATTCAGAATCATTATAAGAAATAATAACGCATGTTACAAAAGATACTATAGTTAAAGAGCTAAGGAAAAGCATTCATAGAATTATACCAAAATGCTAAAAATGGATTTGCAGCCCTTGTTTATAGCATACATTTTCAAGTTATAATTAGCTGCTACCCCCTCTGGAGAAGAAAATACAGCAAAAAATCTCTAATAAAATATATTGTTATATTAAGTCTAGCAAAAACACCTATAGTTAATGCTAATCCTTGCAGTAGACAAAAGAGTTTTTTCCCCTTCCATCCCCACCCAAACTACAGGACCATACCACAGCCTTTACCCAATGAAAACTGCACTTTGCATCCATGTATTCTAGCTGAGCAGGGGCGTGACCAGCTGCTGCTATTACACTCAGATCCATTTTTTTCTCCAAGAAAAACCAGTTGAGACACTGAAGCTACATAACCATCGCACTGAACATCACTGGATGGCAGCAATTCTTTGAAAGACAGTGAAGAAAACCCCCCACAAAACCCACTGCATTTATAGCCTAACGAGTATACATGTATGTCTGGGGGGGGGGGATTACGTTTTTTATTTTTCCCCAACTCACCAATTACTCCCACTGAAAATGTAAATCTCATAACACTGACCTACATAAGTGGAACAAAGCAATTCATTTCTTAGGAAAGACGATCTTTATAAAATTCTTCCTATACTTAATGAAATGAAATAATTTATGAATATTAAGACAGAATATTTTTTTCTTTCTTAGGTATGAAAGATTTTCCCCCTTCTAATTGTTAGCAACCCTGGAAATAGGACATGGACTGCAAAACATGGCACCACCGATATGAAGAGGGGGGAGCCCATCCTTTTTCTCTCTCCAAGATCCACACCTACTGCAGTACTAACAGCCTATCATTCGCCATCACCCTCACAATCAAAATCAGTCTTCCAAACAGGAAACCAAATGTACCAGAGCTCTAGGCTTTGGAGAGAAGGAAGAGAATACCAGAAAGAAAAGAACAGGAAGCCAAGATCGGGACATCCTTAAAATGTACCTATACATTTGATTAAGTGACTCGTTTGGTAAAGAGAAAAATGCTTAAGAACACCCCCCCCACACACACACACGCGCGCGTAAAAATCGCATTTCACGCTGTTATTTAATTTAAATGAAACAACGCCATGCTTCCTAAACCTCTGCCCCTTCTCAGGCAGTTACATCCACCCTTGAGGATCTCAGAGACACACCCCTCCTGCCCCATTTTGTACTGCGAGAATCTCCATTGAGCGCCGAGCTGCGATACACCAAGAAGGAGAAGCGCGGGTTCGCAGCGCAGAGACAGGTGGCGAGTGCGAGCGCTCGGCAGCGAGGCTCCTCTTCTCCCGAGGAGCGCGGTTAAGGGCGGCGAGGAGAGGGAAGCTATTCCGACGCTACAACTAAGAGGGGGCAGGAGCAGCACCGGCAAAGACTGCACGGAGGCGCCTCTCCGCCGACCTTCCATTCCGCTCGAATTACTCCGGGTGCTGAAGCCGCCGGCTCGCGAGCGATTGC